CTCTCTCTCTCTCTCTCTCTCTCTCTCTCTCTCTCTCTCTCTCTCTCTCTCTCTCTCTCTCTCTCTCTCTCTCTTTTCGAGTCCCTGACTCTCCACGCCCCCATGACGGACCATGTGTCTGTTGAAGAGTGGCCTCCATTTTGCGCAGCAACAGCTGCACTTGAGCTCGCCGAGCAATGGGCGTACGAATCGTCGCCGACGGTCTCCGTGCCTGTGGATCGATAGGCAGCATACGGGGCTTTGGCGTGCTCTGCCTGTGCGGCCCGAGTCCCGTCCTCTGCCTTACCCCTCGTCCACCAACATCCCCTCCATCTGTCGCTTGAAAGGTAGGTAAGTAATCTGAGTCACCCGGATCATCGACACCTGTGGTCTCACCGACCTGGACGTCAGAGCTGTCATCATGGACGATAAGCACACTGCCGCGTCTCTTCCCTCTGGGCTCTGCCTTCTGCCCGTCACTAGATGCAGGTGCATTGGCCTGATGCACCTGCTGAACACGATCCGATCTACATAACGTGTCCCCGAGGCCCCTGTGCGCGCAACATCTCTGCCCTCAACGGCGCCGCCCTTTGCGGTTATCTCTCCGTCCTCTGGACCTTCGAGTGTGGAAGGCCTCGAATAACGACGCATGTTCGGTGCCGATGTACCTGCTTCGGCCTTCTTCCTCGCCCTTGACATATTGGCCTTCACCCCCCTCGTGAAGGCGACATCCGATGTCTTAGACCGCAGAGGTCTCCCGTGTTCGTCCCTGTATGCTTTGAAGCCGTCATGAGCAGCACCACCGACGGTCCCTATAGATCGCGTCCCCATCGGAACATCTACTGGTCCACAGTCGCCCGTAGGTCTCTGATCGCGCACAGGGTATGTCCTCCATGGTCGTAGAATGAACCTGTAGGTAGTACAAGGGTCGTGACACGCCCACGACCAGAGCGGGGGTCGTCGGCATTAGGTGCTATTGCCGATGACCCCGCAGTGACGCTCGTGGTAGACGGCGCACGTCCGAGGGGCCCGTCTGAGCGGAGTTCTCTAACGCCCGATGACCCGATAAGCTCCTCATGAGGACGAGCCTCTGTCGTCTTTGAACGGGGCAAACACTACTGCGTCTGGTCACCTCCGTCCATACCATCGAGTACGCCCTGAGACAAATGGTCGTCATGTGGCACTGGGCCTGGTGGGTTTCTTGATCCGTCAACAAGGACGGACTGCAGAAAGCGACCCTGCTGCCCGCCACAGTCTGGAGACACTAAACTGTCCAATGAATCCACTAGACTGCGCTGCGCACAGATGCGTGGACCATCGCGTCAGTGGCGTGTGCTCGTCTCGGCCTTGCCTTGATCCACCACCCAAGGTTTCCCCACATGAAAAACACTAGGCGTGGCGGCCACCATGGGATGCAGGATCGTGTCACCACCGAACTCGTCAAAATGTGTGACGCCTCCATCGCCTCCGTCCTCGCCATCAGGCTGGTGTAGCTCAGGTGGTGGCACAATGCGTAGATTCAGAGATATCAAACTGGAAAGGTCTGGAAGCTTTGTGAGGGCCGAATCCATGGCCACTAACTCATCGGTGGCCAGAACACCGCCCGTGGGGCATGTGAGGCCGGCTTCAGCGATTGCACTGTGTGCACCTGTTGGGGTGTGTGAAACCTCTCCATCCTCCTTGTCGTTCGCGTAGGAGGGGACAACAATGTCAGCTGCTAATGCGGCGGTGCAGTGCGAACCGCATCTGACCCTCCACCCAATACCTCTTAAATGAGTTTATCGACCACCCCATTAAACTCCGTGAGAACGACATCGCTGGGAGGGGGCATGGTCCCCCCATCGTCCAAAACACGTACCTCATCCCCAACATCAGTACTGGTGCCCTGCTGGAGCTCAATCGCGGACGTGGTTGTCTCCTGGAGAATCACCGTCTCACCTTGTGGGCGAGCAACGGCAGCATCACCGGTGTCGAGCTCCTCAATCGCGTCGTCGCTCATGGAGTCCTTAGACACGACAACATGCTCGTCGCCAAGGACGTGGGGGATTGCAATGGTGGAACCCCCGCCATGACGTCTACTCACGCGAGAAGCGATGGTGTCCGTCTTCCTCGGTCCGCGCTTCGGGCGCTTCAAGACAACACCATGACCAGGTCGTGGAGCACCGTCGCCACCGCTGTCATCAGAGTCACCTCCATCGTCCTGTACATTGGGGTCGATGTCCATGGCAGTGGTGCCGCCTGCGGGTGCTGACCGGTGTGCACCCTCTCCATCCCTGTCATCGTGGGCGGGTGGCGGTTGGTGTGCACCCTCTCCATCACCATCCCCGTTATCATGGGCATGTGGTGACCCCTCCACACCCTCTCCATCGCCATCCCTGTCATCGTGGCCAGGTGGCAAATATTGTGCATCCCGTTCATCGCCATCTCTATCATCGTGGGCGGGTGGCAAATGGTGTGCTCCCTCCGTGTCGTCGTCTCTCGTAACCGGTGTGCGCAACGCGAAAAAATCATCATCGTCACTGGACGAGCTCGCGTACAAGAAGTTGCCCTCGTCCCAACGGTGACGTGCTTTGCGGATGACCTCATCCGCTTGTGGTCGAAGACTGACGGACCCTGTACGCACAACTCCGCGTCGACCAGCTCGTCCACGCCCTCCGCGGCCTCCACCTCCACGAGCACCCCCCCCTGTGTCTCCTCCTGTCTGACTCCTCCAACCGTCGAATGGCTCCCATGCGAGAAACGTTGCGCATCCTATCCCTCGCATGCAACATCTCCTCGTGCATGAACCTGACCAGCGCCCCACTACAGGTGACGAGCTATTGGTCGACTGGCAGCTCCTCCTCCACATGTTGCCAAGAGTGCACCCAACTCTCGTACACATCGGGCCTCTCTGTTGGGGAGTCGTCAGATAATGATGGTCTGTCCAGGAGGCGCAGGTTCCAGTGGCACCTCACGAGCTTCTCAGCCCGTGCGACCTCCAACCTGTTGCATGACTTGGAGTGAATGAAACTCCAACGAGACCACGCTCTCTTGCACGGTGATGCGGTCGACCAAATGTGAAGGATCCTGCTCGCGAAGTAAGCAGTATGTGGAAACCTGGCCTGTTTTGTCGACCAAAAACTGGCTGCGTGAATGTGGCTCGCATGGACTCGCTGCATGCAGACGTCGTCGAATGGAGGTTCCCTCGTGTGGAACTTGTCAGTCGGAGTGAGGACCTTTGTGTGCTGCGGCGACCCCTCCAGGTAGCCGAACTGAACCAAAGCGGCGATCAGTCCCTGCTACACCTCTACGTCGTCGACCAGCGTGCGGTGTCTGAACTCAGGATCCAACATCATGGCAGCTATGTGAGCAGGGGTCTTGAACATGGTCCGCCACCTGTCGAACACCTCCAGCACAACATCCTGCTGCTCCCGATCAATATCAGCACAGACATACAAGCAAACTGCGATCATATACTCGTAATGACGCAAAATCTTGCTAATCTGCCTCGTGTCGATGTCCACCATCTTCAACATGTTCATGATGGGATCCAGCAACTTACATAGCGCTAGCAAATCCTCCCACCACGGAGGTGACCCAACACATGCAATGACCTCAACCGCGTCCTTCCGAATCTTCGTCGTCGACCACACTGTATCACGCCAGCAACTGTCCACCGCCACCTGCATCAGCTCGGACTCCAAGTCCAGAAGCCTCCTGATCATGATCACATTCGTTCCGAAGTGGCTTTCTGCTGGCAACAACAGACTCTTCTTCGTGAACGCCTCCAGAACCTCTCGCGCATGGCTTCGGCGCTTGAAGAACCTCGTGACCATCCTTGCTTGCGCGACGCAGGTGGCCACCCAATCAATCCCTCCAATGTCCTCAAGGATGAGGTCCATGACGTGTGTCCTCCGACCCTTGCGGGTGGTGTCTCCGGATCATTAGATCCTTTATATTGATTGTGTGATCTTTCGGTTGCCCAGAGTGCAACAACGAAGAATTTGGGTGGATTGTTGGATGTCGGGATCCTTGGCGGCCGAGCCACGCCAGAACGAGGTAGAGGCACCTATAGGCAGCACACCGTCACGTCTTACTACGCAGACCCAGTGGAGCATGCATGGCACTTGCAGATCATGCGGTTCATTGTCGAGAGTGGGATGGCGTTCAATTGTGTGAAGCTTGAAAGCTTCAAACGCATGCTCACAATGATCATTCCACCCGTCATTCCGGGGGCACCCATGCTGAAAGTTACCACATATCACATGCTTCGCACGACCCTTTTGGACGAGCTCGATGCAGAGGTCAAAAAGTGCGTCAAACCCGTCCTCGATTCGTCAACAGAGACGGGTTACACGATTATGACAGACGGATGGACCATCATCCGTAGTCAGACGTTGTGTAACTACCTTGTCGGGACAGACAAGGGGGTTGCGTATGTCGCCACGGATGTTATGCACGAGAAGAAGGACGCCACTGCCTTGGCGAAGTCTTGGTTGAAGAGGGTGAAGTCCATGAACATCAAATTGAGCGATATCACTGCTTTTGTCACAGACTCTGCCGGGGTCAACATTGCGGCAATGGATGTCTTCCAGGAGGATGAGAGCGTCGGGAGCCGGGGTGGGTGAGGAATTGGACACAGGAATGGGGAGCTCTGCATCGACACCCACAGGAAGTGCCCCTTCACCATGTCCCGGACCGGAAATAGGTTGACGGATATCGTGCACTGCGTGCAAAGGCTCAGGCCGCTGAGGAGGTTGCTGAAGGGCAGTGTTTGTGTCGGTTTGAGCCCTCAACGGCGGCAGCGGCAACCAAGCATGATCGGATGATGTACGATGATCAGCGGGAGGCGCCGTTGCTGAAGCATGACGTGTTGCACGTGTCGCCCTAGCAGCAGTAAACATAGGGGCCAAGCCAACCGATGTACCCGCATCCTTCCCCCACTGGCCACCCTCTACGAAAGCTCGTGTCCTGCCCTCGTCATACTCCGCAGGTGCCACCCCTTCTAACAGGCTGGGGTTGATGCGTCGACACTGATTGACCCCCCCGTGCAGGTACGGACCCCGTGCCCGTGTGGCCAATGCCCACAGGTCCAGTAGGTGGATGTGGTGGTCGATGCGGTGCAGGCGACATCGTCGTCGCGCGGGGTGGAATTGTGGCTCGAACCTCAACGATAGAAGGCACGACCTCCGGGGGGGGGCGCACCACCCACGTGCGACGACGGGGGAGGGACGGAGTCCTCGGGATATCGAAGTGGCGGCCACTGGAAGTTAGGATGGTTTGACTGCAATGTCTGCAAGGTCTCGATCGCGGAAACGAAGTCCTTTTGACACTTTGACATGTCCCTGGCCCAAATGCCATGGGAAACCGCAGGAGTTCCCGCCTAGCAACGAAATTTATCGCTCTTCGAGAAGTGCTCCTTGGCGGCTTTAGCGCCCCCGCAAATCGATCGGCCACACAATCTACATAAACAGCGCCAGCCACTCTTCCTCCCTGATGCAGTGGACGCATCCAAATACTGGTCGCGTGCAATGAAATGCCATATAGGGTCATCCCGTTTCCCGTCGATTACAGGATCGACCTTGAACGGCGAGTTGAACGTCTTCGTGCTGTGTCCCATCCTGGTGCCACCGGAGTTGTTTCCGAGGCCGAAGAATGCTCCATAGGATCCTTGCCATGTTGGCGTGACATAATGCAACCCGCGGCCATAGCACAAGTGAACTATGTATGACAAACGCGCCAACGGCTAAAGGAATGGACAATAAGCGAGAAATGTAGAATCACCCTGAAGAAATTGGATCATTACCACAACGACAAACAAGGCAAGAAAAATAAATATAAACAAACAACAAAAAACAGCTGTTTTTTTTTTTTTTCCAAGCATGTGCTGTTTCCAGTTTCTAGCACTCCCCCCCTACCCCCAAAACCCGTTTCCCGCTTCAGGGGCTTTAGGGGCAATAGGGCCCATAGCTCCCCATACTAGCACTCACCCCCCACCCCCAAAACCGTACATAAAAAAAAAGGTTAGGAGAACTTAGGACCCTTGGTGTTGTTTTTTTTTTCCAAGCATGAGCGGTTTCCCGTTTCCCGGTTTAGCCTTCGTTAGGGCCTTTAGGGGCGATAGGGCCCATAGTACCCCATGCTAGCAC